GGGGACAGGCCCAGGCGGGGCCCGGGGAGTTGCAGGGAGGACCGCAGCCTGGGAGCTGGGTCCGGAGCCGGCGTCCAGCAGCCGTGACCTTGGCCATGCGGGGTCAGCATCCAAGCATGGGCTGTGGGAATGGCGAGAGCAGAGGGGACAAGGGAGGAGATGGTCACTGTGGCCAGAGCCTCAGCAACATGATAAGGTCACCAGCCAGCAAGTGGCAGAGCTAGCGGGGAGGCCGCAGCCTGGCCGGCGGCAGGGACTCTGGCCCGGGGCCCAGCCAGGCGGCCAGCAGTGGCAGGCGCTGACCTTCTGGTCAGAGAGAAAAGACAGACCCGTGGGGAGCAAGTCGCAAGCGCAGGCCAGGGGACAAATCCTCGTCCACCAGCCCCAGGGTGCGGGCAGCAGAGGGGGTGTCCCTGCCGGGACCGGATCTTGACGTGGGGCCGAGGGCGGGGCACAGGCCAGGGCCTAGGGGCTGGACCCTGAGCCAGTGCCTGAGCCCAGGACCCTGACACCACCAGCCCTCGGCGTCATCGGTGGACAGCTCCAGGGCTGAGCTCTGTCCCTCTCCAGAGGGTCCCAGCATGGTGACCTCATGTCCCCCTCCAGCGTCTGCCTCAACAGGCCCCAACCTCAGGCCAGCCAGCGCTCAGGCCACTGAGCAGGGCCCACTGAGGGCTGGCGTGGACACCTGGAGCCCCTCACAGCCATTCACCAGGCCCTGGACGGCAGCCTCAGAGGGGCCCCTGCTTCCTGGTGCTGCAGGCTCGGGGCACCTTCTGCCCTGGAGGAGCGAGGGAGAGGCTGGGGGTCTCGCTCCTGAGACTTGGGGGACAATTTTATGCTCTGTAGAGCCATCTGATTGACGGCTCGGATGGGGTCAGTGCAGGGACCGGAAGGTGAACATGCCCGTCCCTGCCGCCCTGCGCTGGCATCCAGACCAGGGCTGGGCAGAATCAGGGCAGCGGGGAGCCCCAGCCGCTGGTCCTCCTTCAGCGAGTATTTGCCAAATTCTACAGGTAGAAAAACATGAGCAGGGCTGCCCTGTAGGGTTGTGTGGGTTGTGCACTCCATCTCCAAGCCTGGCCCAGGGGCGCATCAAGATGGGTCCAGAACCTCTGATTGGAGCAGGGCAGAGCCTCTTTCCCTGGGAACCACGACCATATGCACGTTTCCTCTTTGGCTCTCTTCTGACAGTTCCAGAGAAGCCTTTTCAACCTCCACATTTCCTGCAAAACCCTCGGGCCACGTGTTCCTCCAGGAGCTCCTGGGCCTGAGCTTACGGGTTCAGGCAGGAGACTTAGATTATTTTTGTTTTCTGTTCAGCGATACATCTTCCCCTTGGCGTGGGGCAGCGAGACCCATTTTCTGGAAAATAGGAGCCAACGGGGAAGGAAGAGGGTTAGCTCTCAGAGACCCTGGGGGATGGAGGCTGGGGTTTTGGAAACCACCCTGCAGTGGCGCCCACTCTGCGTCCACTCTGCATCCACTCTGCGTCCACTCTGCGTTATCCGAACAAACAGCTTTTAAGCAAATACCACACCCCAGGCCGTGACTGGGACCAGGCCACATGCTCTCTGCCCTCAGGAAGCTTCCAGATTTGGGAAGGAGAGGGACGGAGCCCGCCTGGGCCTGGCTGGGACCCTGACAGGCAGGGGAGGAGAGTCTGGGGCGCAGGGAGCCGGGGAAGGGGGAGCGCAGGCTTCGCTCACGGCGGCACACCGGTGCCTTCCTGGAACCCGCCTTTGCCTGGGCCCGCGGTGGGCCAGGCCCTGGGGACCCAAGATCGAAAGGGAAGTGTGGGACCCGGGGACGGCGAGCGAGAAAGGAAGGACGGAGACCAGGCAGAGCCACGCGGAGTTCCTCTGTCAGAGCTGACGGATCGAGGCCACCTGTCCCCAGATGGAGAGGGGCACCGTGGGCTGGGGGCTCGGGCCTCTAGGGGCAGCCCCAGGATCAGAGCCGGGTGGGTCCTGATGCGGGAGGTTAGGGGGGTTGGTACTGGGGGGAGCCCTTCTCAGGAAGGCCCTCGGGCGGGCAGGAGAGCGGGACTTTTCCTTCAGATGTCCGCGGTCACTTCAGACGGCCGTCCGGATGCTGAGCAGGGACCTCACATCCCCTCCTTGGTTTGTTATGGGGCCCTTAAGGGACAGGCGCAGATCCATCTTCTGTAGCTCCTTCCTGCTGGGAAGGGGCGGCGTCTGGGTCCTTGTCATGGGGGTGGGTGTCCCTGGGGCAGTGGTGAGGGTCAGGAGGTGCCGGCAACGCTGACTCCGAGGGTGGGGGGGTCCTGTGACAGACGCTGGTCCACGGTTTGGTGACAGAGCCTTTGACTCTGGCCTTGAGTAACTCTCGTGACCGGGGGCAGGATCGGCCGGAGGCCTGTGGCCAGGAGAGGCCAGGAAGGAGGTGGCCTGCAGAGGGGGTTCTCAGCGGCCGTCCTCCAGCCCCGGGGCAGGGGAGCGCAAGGCCTGAGGAGACGGGAGGTAAAGGGGGGCATTAGGAATGGAGGTTCCCTTGGAAGAAAGGAATCCTCGCTCCTCAGACAGCAGAGTGGGGAAGTGTGGGGACAGCGCGTTCAGAGCCCGGGTGGAGGTGGACGGGGCTCCCTTGGCCGCAGTGAAGGCTCTGATGAGGGCGGCCCTGCAGCCTGCTGAATGGACGTGGGACGGGGAGGGAGCCGCTTCCACGGCCGAGGTCGGAGGCCACGGCATCCCCCGCCCCACGACGTCCCTCCTGAAGGAAGGAGGAGCCGTCTGTGGGCCACGTGCATGTGGCCTGGGGCAGGGCCTCCTGTGTGGGAGACAGAGTCTCAATGAGGAACGGGTGAGAGGTGGAGGGTCCTGAGGAGCGGGAGGAGAGGAGCAGGTTCAAAGGTGGAGAGTCAGGCTGGATCTTCCACCAGGGACAACAGGTGACAGGGGTGAGGAGTTCATGGGTGACGGGGAGCAGGGTGGTGTGAGCAGGACCAGGTCCCGGAAGGAACGTGGGGGGAGGGTGTCAGGACCGGTCACCACAGGACGATTGGGACGGCCACAGAGTGGGTGGAACAGGTCTTGGACCAGGCCCAAGGAGCCGAGATGGGGGTGTTTAGGGGGTGAGCGGGTCTAGGGACCCCTTTCCCAGGGTCTTGGGTGACAGGCTCAAGCCCAGGAGTTCTCGTTGGGAGAGCGGGTAGTGTGACCGGGCAGAAAGGGGAGGGGCCTTTGAGACCACGTGAGTGGGCTGTGGTGGGGGGCGATGGAAGGACCTGGAACATCCCGGACGGTAGGGTCCCCCTCGGAAGGGGGCAATGGGGAGGCCCTGGCAGATGGAATGGGGGTGGCCCTAGGGTCAGGATGAGGAGCAGGGGAGCTGCAGGCGAGTCTGGGAAGCCTATATGAGGGGAGAAGGAAAGCGTAGCCCCCAACTTTGTGAGGATGTCCCTTCCCATAGGGGACAGGGCACTGTGGAATGACCAAAAAGGAGTGGGTGACACTAGACAGTCAAAGGCACCAAGAAGGCCAGGTGTCTGCAAGGGCTGGTGAGGTTTGCCCTCCACCCCACAACAGAGGTCACAGAACCAGCGGCAGGTCCCCAGATCTCCCGAGGACTGAGTCTGTAGCCAGGTGTCCAGGAGGAAGGGGACAGGCCACCTGGAGTACGCAGAGTCACCCCGGTTCCCACGGAGTGAAGGGAGCGGTCAGGTGTCCTCTGTGCCAGTCCTGAGAGTCAGAGAGGGGAACCAGAAGGGCCGGATGGCTAGGGGCCACTGTGGGCTCAGGGACAGTCAAAGGCCCAGTGTCCCTCCTGAGGGCATCTAGGACAAGGGCCCAGAGGCTTGTGAGGCTTGGGACATGTCCAATCCCAGTAACTCCTCTGACCACATTTAAAACAGGGTCTGGGCAGTGCCCAGGGACCCTCCCACAGGCCAGCGGACCAGGGACAGAGGCTGAGGCTGAGGGATGGCTTGAGCGAGCATCTGAGATTTCTGCTTCCGGGCCTTCTCGTCTCTCCGCTACACACCTTAAAGGCCACTCTGTCGGGATGGGAAAATGGCAGTCGGGGGGCAGAAATAAAGAATGTCCACACGCTTCAGCCCTTCTCAATGCTTTATTCACCCAGATCACTCCATACAGCTCCACTCGATAGGTTCTGAATCAAGAAAATGATAATCCTTAATGCTGGGCACTGCAACCTCATAATCAATCCACAGCAAATTCCCACACTTGCTCCTGACAGGCTCGTGACAGACACTCCCTCTGCGCGCTAAGCTCAAGTGCCAGGTCTAAAGTCTCAAGCCTGGGCTCTAGGTCCAGCAGGTGCCCACTCACTCCGCCCAGGGAGATCAGGGCGGAGCCGAGGCGGGCTTCTCCTGGGGCGGAGCTGGCGGCCAGCTGGTGGAGGACAGGGTCGCAGGGAGAAGTGGCGGCTCTCACAGGG